TTCTTATCTCATAATTATGACTTTTTATCTCATTATTTCGACTTTCTTATCTCATAATTATTACTTTTTATCTCATTATTATGAATTTTTATCTCATAATTATGACTTTTTATCTCATTATGACTTTTTATCTCATAATTTCGACTTTTTTAAGTGGCGGAAATGGGCTTCCATACATTACAAAGCAAAGATAATAAAATAATAAAAATAAACACCACAGGTATACAATACATGTTTAAAAGGCATACCGTAGTGCGAATATGAGCAGCTCAATTAAAAAAAAGCCAAAGCAATAGGTTTTCAGTCTCGATTTAAAAATAGTAAGCGTTTCTGCGGACGTGCATGATTTCGGTAGTTTGTTCCAGATTGTCGGGGCATAATAGCTAAATGCTGCCTCTCCATGTTTTGTTGTTACTCTCGGAACCGATGGCAGACCCTTCCCAGAAGACCTGAGGCCCCTTGATGGCTCGTAATTATGCAGGAGTTCAACAATATACTTTGGTCCTAAACCATGTAATGATTTAAAAACCAACAATAGTAGGCTACTTTAAAATCAATTCGTTGGCCGACTGGAAGCCAGTGTAAAGACTTCAGAACCGGACTGATGTGATCCACTCTTTTAATGTTAGTGAGGACACGTGCAGCAGCGTTCTGTATCAGCTGCAGCTTTCTGATGGATTTTTTTGTCAGCCCTGTGAAGACACTATAGCAGTAGTCGAGTCTACTGAAGATAAAAGCATGGACAAGCTTTTCTAAGTCCTGTTGTGACATTAGTTTTTTAATCCTCGATATGTTCTTCAGGCTGTACTCAGCATTGAATCAAAACGCACCATAGCTTTAAATCTTAATAAGTTTGTGAGGCATTTTGCTGATCAAGATGGTAATCGCCACATTCAGCTGTTATTGGCATGCCAACTTGATGCTCTGCTCACGGATGACTCGATAAGATGATGACCTTACGTGTGTGAATATATATTTTTCTTTGTGGGGGTCTGCCCCCAAAAAACTGTTTCAAGTCCTGAGAAAGTCAAATAAGACGTAAAACTACACTGCCCAGCCAAACAAAAGTAACCACTTTGATTTAACTAGGCCAGTAGGTAAGGACTTTCCACTGGATGATTATATATGTACTTTATATCTTTTAGCTGAATACACGTTTTTTAACCCTAACTGATGCAGTTAGTCACTTCTTTAATGTTTGGTCAAGGTTGTAACTGTTTGCAATGAAGTTGTGGGGCGCTGAACTATTCCTTTGATTCTTTTGATATATGATAGTAATTACTTATCTTTCAAATTTGAAGGAGGGTGAGCAAGCATCTTGAGGAACGTTCATCATTAACTCCTCCAAAAAATATAGTTTATTTAATAATAATACTGAATATGTGAATCATAACAGTGATTGACAGCTGATAGGAATAATATGATTGTTAATAGTATCATATTCATTCAGACAAACATCGATGAGACAGTTAATTAATGTACTTATTGCAGCAGTCTTCATAGATTTGGTACCCCTGCTGGTCTAAGAGTGAAACAAACTCATTCAGTTATTGTTCAGTTAAAATTCATTAAATGACACCTTATATATCGTGACACGAAAAAGTAGTTCAACCAAACAATCTATTAAGGAAACCTAAGAGCAAATGTACATCTGCATACCATGACATGGGGGTCACTCATTGTGCAATAATGATTTGGAGAAAATAAGAAATTCCATTTAAAAATGTTCAACCGTTTTTCGATGCAATGTGATTCGCTTTCCTGTATACCATGCCTGTGATAAAGGGCTGTTTTCACTGGGCGAATGCTTGGTCAATTAGGGCGAAAGGTTATTTATTCCCCGTCTAAACTCACTGACAGAAGAAGATAAATCCTGACATCAGTTTAATTGAAATGTGCTTGTTCTTTGCCATGATCAAATTCCCTGTCATCCAAGCCCTGTGGTTATCCACAGGCTTCCCTGCCGCGCTTTACGGCAGCCAGTGGGGATAATAACCGGGGTTATGGATTGACCGGTGGATCACCTTGTACCGCTGCTTTGAGGGAGCCATGGTCGGGGCCAGGGCTCAGCGTTGCTTGTATGCGAGAGCCGTGGCTGAGAGCTCTCCTGTTT